CACGGCCTTGTAACACCGAGGTCAATGGTTCAGTTCCTCATGCCCAGCTGCCCCCCAAAAAACAAAAAAAGAACCTAAATATAGAAGTTAATTTTAAAATATTAACATGCTAAAGATTTGTTTTGATTTGTTTAAATAAACAGGACAGGAACATAAGTATAAATTATAGGCATGTTCGCTCAGCTACTCTTCTGTAATTCAAATGAACAAATTCTGTACTTTTTGGCTTCTGTTTTTTATTTCTTACCAGTTCCTGGTTTATCTCTAAAAGGATTAAATCCTTTGCTCTTGCAGTTTATTCTACAATAACATATCTTAGTATCAGTAGTCCTTTAAATATTACTTAAATGCATTTGATATGTGTGTGTGAAAGTGTACAATTTCTAACCTCAGTTCAGAAACAGTGGAAAATTTTCTTGGCTACTTCGGTTTGTCTGTAAACATATGCTAGTTGTTACACACACACACACACACACACCTCACACTCACACACAGGGTAGTAGTATCCAGTCTTCCACCATTACAAGGCAGTGATTTGACTCTTGAACATTTTCCTGGTGCATGAACTACGTCTTTGCAACGAGTTTAATCTGAAGGCACCTGTCCAACATAAATAATAAAAGAACATTCTAAAAATACCCACTTAAGGAATTAGGTGTGTACTGGAAATAGAGTGCTATGAACAGCCAATTATGGTTTTTCGTAGCACAAACACCCAAAGGGAGAACAGTTTCTCAGGAGAGGACTCTTTTGATTTGTAGGTGATTTTTTCATCGTGTGGGGATTTGGATCTGCTTGAACACCAGACAAGCTTGGTGTCTTCAGAGGACGGCGCCCGGGAACAGGAGAACATGGACGACACCAACAGTGAACAGCAGTTTAGAGTCTTTAGAGACTTCGATTTCCTAGATGTGGAGCTGGAGGATGGAGAGGTACAGTATATTCTCTGTAAAAATAATCCCTTCAACCTTTGCCTTGACTAACAGTTTCTTTTTACCTGCTAAATAATAATTTTTTACAACAAGGTCTTTAATTGGTAAGCTGTAAATTTTATTTCAAATCAACTTATTCATAGTACAGCGGCTTAACTTTGGCAAAAGTTACCACACCCTTCCTGTCTGAGCCCAGGGCGAAAGCTGCCAAGTTATTTCTAAATGTCAAAGACCTGACTTTTAATGACCACACAAAGACTGTGTGTGTATACTCCAAAGGTAAAATTTAAAAAAAAAAAA